TGAAAAACCATATGAATGCATGGAGTGTGGAAAGAGCTTTAATTTCAATGCATCCCTTAGAACACATCAACGGACTCACACAGGGGAGAAACCATTTAAATGTATGGAGTGCGGAAAGAGCTTCAGTCAGAGTGGACACCTTAGTATTCATCTATGGACTCACACAGGGGAGAAACCATTTAAATGTATGGAGTGTGGAAAGAGCTTTAATTTCAATGCATCCCTTAGAACACATCAACGGACTCACACAGCGGAGAAACCATTTGAATGCCTGGAGTGTGGAAAGATCTTCAGTCAGAGTGGACACCTCAATATACATCAACGGACTCACACAGGGGAGAAACGATATAAATGTATGGAGTGCGAAAAGAGCTTCAGTCAGAATGGAAACCTTAAATTACACCAGCGGACTCATACAGATGAAAAACCATATGAATGCATGGAGTGTGGAAAGAGCTTTAGATCCAATTCATCCCTTAGAACACATCAACGGACTCACACAGGGGAGAAACGATATAAATGTATGGAGTGCGGAAAGAGCTTCAGTCAGAATGGAACCCTTAAATTACACCAGCGGACTCATACAGGTGAAAAACCATATGAATGCATGGAGTGTGGAAAGAGCTTTAATTTCAATGCATCCCTTAGAACACATCAACGGACTCACACAGGGGAGAAACCATTTAAATGTATGGAGTGCGGAAAGAGCTTCAGTCAGAGTGGACACCTCAGTATTCATCTATGGACTCACACAGGGGAGAAACCATTTAAATGTATGGAGTGTGGAAAGAGCTTTCTTCATAATGGAAGCCTTAGAAGACATCAACAGACTCACACAGGGGAGCAACCATTTGAATGCCTGGAGTGTGGGAAGAGCTTCAGTCAAAGTGGAAATCTTAGAAAACATCAGCAGACACACATGGGAGAAACCATTTAAATCTATGGCGTGTGGAAGGAGCTTCAGTCAGAGTGGAACCCTTTAATTTACGCCAACAAACGCACCCAAGAGACAAACCATATAAATTTCAGGAAAGGAAATAAAGGTTCAGTCCTAGGGGAGGTCCTACATTTTCCTTCTTGGCAGGGGGTTGGACTCGATGGCCCTTGTGGTCTATTCCAGCTCTGTGAGTCTATGATTCTATGATCAACAGACTCATGGACAGGAAGAACTTTAAGAGTTGAAACCCGACAAACCATCAACAAACTCAAAGCGGAGAAGCAGTTTAAATGGAAGGATTACAGAAAGTGCTTTAGTTATAATGGAGTGTTTAAGAAACATCAAGGGAGTCTCAGATGGGAGAACCCATTTAGATGTATGGAGTGCGGGACATGTTCCTCTCAGAGTCCCCTCTACTTCACAGCAATGAACTCAGAGGAGATCCGGCTTCCGGCTTCAGGGCCCAGCTGAGTGTTGCCATTATCTCAAACTGGTTAACTCCTGTCTAATCTGCTCTGTGTCTGTGTCTCTCCCTGCTTCTGAGACCACTGGAAATGAGGGGGGCCGTTTCTCCCCCTCCATCTCTTCTTCTGAGGAAAGCTGATCTCCTTGAGAATGGATTCCCCAATATTCGGCTTCAGACCATTCCCTGACAAAACACATTGCCCTGTGTCGTTCCAGCCTCTTGCCTCCCTTGCTCCCTTCTGCTGGTACGTGTACCTGTGTGCTGTATTTCTTTAAATGAAGGTAATGTCTCACAATAGTGAGAATAATTTTAGATATAAAGTACCTTTTGACAGGGACGCGGGTGGCGCTGTGGGTTAAACCATAGGTCCGTGGTTTGAATCCCCGTGACAGGGTGATCTCCCATTACTCGGTCCTTGCTCCTGCTAACCTAGCAGTTCGAAAGCATGTCAAAGTGCAAGTAGATAAATAGGTACCGCTCAGGTGGGAAGGTAAAGATAGTCCCCCAAGCCTTATTGCAAGAGGGAGAATGAGGAGCTGCAGGTACCCAACAGAACATTAAAAATACAGAGATTGAGGTCAACAGACAGCGAAGCAAAGTCTACTCCAAGGGAAGCCCTTCAGCTTCCAGCCTGTCCCCTCCCACAAGGGCTGAAGGAGGCTTGCCATTTGGGGATGGCAGAGCTGAATGGAAGCGGGCAAGGAAGCCCCACTATCACTCCTGCCAGAGGAATAGGGTGACTCACCCCTATACTCAAAGCTGATTGACAGGAAGGAATTCCTCCCCACCCTTGTCACATGCAGCTGGGCTCACTTGCCAGAGCCACCTCGAAAGCCTGACTAGAATTCCCATTGATGTACTGTCTATGGAAAAGGAGGCGGCTTCTCTGTTATGTTTCTGTGATTGTTATTAAGAAAATGTATACATTATAGTCCCAAAAGTGTAAAGCCTTGCCTCTAACGTGGTCATGTTGATACCACAAACGTACTGTGTAATGCTTTGAATGTGCTACTGAAACAGACTTTGTAAAACTTTGTACAAAATACATGGAACAAAGTGTAACTGTTGCTGTCATGACAGACCCAGTATAGACAACTCCACACTGCCGTCTACTGGGTCTACAGTATATAAAAAAACACCCATTCATGACTAAGACACTTTTATTGAATAAACCATTCTTCAAACAAAGTAACAGCCATTCACAAATAAAGACTGACTTCTCCCCGTAAGAGTTCCAATCTGACACAAAGATGGGAGCATCTTGTGGGAATGTTCAGGGTGGCAGGAGAGGATATATTGTTTGTTAATATCCTTCCAAACTTGCGGCAGCAATTTCCTTTATGAAGCAGAGCGCATTCCCCTTTTTACATGCACAGCAGATAGCTGGTTGCAGGCTCGTGTGAGCTTCTCACTATTATACAATTCAGTCTGTCTCAGATTGACTTGTACTGCTTCTGATGGATCACATTCCACACATCTTAGCACAACAGTGGGAACTGTGAACGCCCATACATGCACTGCTTGTTGCTTCCAATGCTGTTTCCTCTGCCCATTCCTGCAGCATCACAAAAGGGACAGCCATTAACAGAATGGGTGCAGCCCAGACCCCAGCACCAGGTACTTTGCAAACACATGAATAATGTCACTATCACCATCCACTTCACAAGGGATCCTCACCTGTAACCTCACCCTGCGGCACCTCCTTCCTGACGTCCTCCATGACAGATCTACAAAGGCGGGAAACGGTGGGGTGGAAATTTATAAAAGTATGGTCTTTCTTTTGTTCAGAGTTCCCACCTTCCTCCTGCGTGAGTGGCTTCAGACCCTGCTGCAGAAGGTCTATTAATAAAAGATCAGGGGGGGGGTGGCGCTGTGGTCTCAACCACAGAGCCTCATGGTCTTGCTGATCGGAAGGTTGGCAGTTTGAATCCCCGCGACGGGGTGAGCTCCCGTTGCTCTGCTCCGGCTCCTGCCAACCTAGCAGTCTGAAAGCACACCAGTGCAAGTAGATAAATAGGTGGCGGGAAGGTAAACAGTGTTTCTGTGCGCTCTGGTTTCTGTCATGCACCAGAAGCGGTTTAGTCTTGCAGGCCACATGACCAGGTAGCTGTCTGTGGACAAACGCCAGCTCCCTCAGCCTGAAAGCGAGATGAGAACTGCAACCCCATAGACATCTTTGACTGGAGTTAACCGTCCAGGGGTCCTTTACCTTTCTTACCTTAATAAAAGATCAGGCATAGCAGCCGCTTTGATCCAGCGTTACTTTGGTTGGTCTCTGTTAGTTTCTCTGACTTTTGGGAGACCGACTGTTTCCTAGACGGGCTCCTCGTGCATCCCGTAAGGAGAAGGAGCTGTTTTACGATCTTTTCCACCATCATCCCCGACCACTGGTCTTGCTAGCTAGGGGTGATGGCAGCTGTAGTCCGAAAACAGCTGGAGACCCAAATTTGGGAAACCCTGTTCACCTTGAAGGAGAAAGGAGGGCTCACCTGCATCTGGAGGAATGCCAGGTAAGCCCTGCAGGATAAGGCCCAAGGGGCCCCTGTGCAAGGGCCACAGCTTCCCCACAAGTGAAGAAGCTGTAGGAAAGCAGGAGAGGCAGGAGGAGAGGGTGGGGAGGAATAACTGAGAATGAACTTCTGGAGCCTGGGAAGCCCCCTCCCCGCCTGCTCCCTGAAGGTTTCCCAAGCCCCTCCCCTTTTCACTTCAAGGATTGGGGGACCTCAGCATCCCAGGGTTGCTTTGCTCCAGTGGGGGGAGGGGAGCTATTTTGTTTGCTGAGGGCAGGAGTCACAATCCTGTCACATTGCGGGTGTCAGGCTTTTAGGGGTGAGGCTCAGGTGGGAAAGAGTTGAGAAGGAAAAAATCCTGGGGTGCGGATTTACTCCACTGCCCAGCTCCTCAAGGTGCCACTCCCTGGGGGTCCCTCTGGTCAGCAAAAGAAGGAGTCTCCAGCCAAGTTAAAGATGCAAAACAGTGGTCAGCAGACCTGATCTTTCTTTGTTGCAACAAGGTCCAAACACACCAAGAGTAGGAACCCTGAGAAGATGGTTGCATGGATTTTTAAGACCTCTCCCCATTTCCCACAATACATTTTTCCACAGCATCTTTGATGCATCACAGATTTGTCACAAAGTAGGAGTCTTTGGCGTTCAGAAACGTGGACCCGTCACCCACCCCTGTCAACAACCCCAGTTTCTCACACCTTTTAACTACCCTCTTCCAATAAGAACCATAATAGTATTTACAGATCCCCCCAGCTGCAAGGCTCTCCTGGGCTTCTCCTTTGGAAATATCAGGATCCTCCTCCTCCTCCAATCCGGCTTCTGTTCCGGGAATAAGGGGGGGGGGTGAGCCTCCTCCCAAATTGCTGCTTCTCCCGGAAGTGGAGCTTCTACGCCGGATTGCCGCTCAGCGCCATAGCTCTAGGGGCGCGCCCTTTCGGAAAGGGGAGGAGGGGCGGCAGGGGACCCCCCCCAAAAAAAAACAACATCGATGTTGCAGGAAAGGAAATGAGAATCGGGATCGAGGACAAAGAGGTAAAGGGGTCGCGGCGGGGGGGGGGAGAGGGGAGAGAAGGACCTATAGAGGGACTCCTCGCCAGCTCCCCAAAGCGCCTTCCGTGGCCCCCCCGGCAGGGCCTGGATCCCTGAACGTGTGCTGCGAAGGGGGCTTTCCTTGGCAGGGGTGGACATGGGGCGCCCACCCACGGGGTCCCACGAGGACTCCCCGGCCCCGTTTCCCCCGCGCAGGCATCCCCGGGGCCCTGTGCGCTCCGCGCGGAGAGAGGCAGACCATGAAAGGGTTAACGGGCACGAAAGACGCCTAGATAGAGACCCCCCGTCCCTCCCCATCTCGTCTTGGGGGTCCCCTCCGGATGGAGAGATGGGTCGCGCTTGGCGAGGGGTGAGCCGCGCCAAGGGGGCCTCTGGGTGCAGGGGAGACTCTGGGAGAGAGGGAGGGGGCCAAGGGTGGGGGGGAGCCGGGGGGAGGAGGGAGGGGAGCATCCCTGGGGCTAGGAAGCGAAGCACTGGCGGGGGGGGGGGAGGAAGACCAGTCTGTAGGGAGACATCTGCATCGTGCGCCCACGGGGAATCTCCGAAGGGGCTGGCTCGGCTTCTCCCTCCCACCCAAGAATCGACCCCCCCTTCAAGGCAACCAGAGAGGGATCCCTGGAAAGTGGGGGTCCTGTCCCCACCACCCCTATCAAATCCACCCCTTCCTTCCTGCAAGCTCCATCCTCTTCCCGCCCCATAAGCCCCTGCCCTGTCCAGACACAGTGATTCTGCAAAGTCCAACCACTGGTCCCCTGGAGAGGAGAGGAAATTCCAAGAGGAAGAGAGGAGGGGAGAGGCCTTCTTAGAAGCGGCTCTTGGTTTCCTCGGTCCCACCCAGGAAGCAGCCAGAAACCTTTTCCTCTCTCTCAGGCTTCCATCTTTAAGTGTCTTTTCCACTGCCTGGTTCATTGAGGCTGAGGATAATGTACACCTGTCATCAGAAACAGGGGTGCAGAGTCCATGGAATGGCTCGCAGGATTGATATAGAAGTTGCACCTCAAAAGCATTTCTGTTCCTCTTATTTTTGGTAGGCAGTTTCAGAGTGACTGACTCTGGCTGAGATACAATCCTTCAGCATCTGATGATAGCAATTGCATGAACCTCCCCAGTCAAAGGATCCATTTTCATGGTAGACAGTGCCTGTCGCTGGAGGTTCTACATACAAGGTGTGCCTATACAGGCCAAAGACTGCCAGTATTAGCACAGGTGAGGTGTGTGACCTTCTCAAATTTATAGACTGTGTGTGAATGAGAAGTTGTGGGTGGGATTACAGATTATGGCATCCCTGTGATTTTCTCCCCTCATAACATTTCGTGAGCTCATATTGCAGAACGAATTCCAAAATAACTGCAAATAACCACAAGAAAATAATAATAATAATAATAATAATAATAATAATAATAATAATAATAATGTTTTTTCCCTGCCCACCTGGCTGGGTTTCCCCAGCCACTCTGGGCAAATTACAGTACATATAAAAGACAGTAAAACATCAGATATTCAAAACCTCCCTATACAGGGCTGCCTTCAGCTGTCTTCTAAATGTCAGATAGTTGCCCATTTCCTTGCCATCTGCCTGCTTCCCTGTAACTTCGCTTCTCACGGGCGGTGGGGGGGGTGAACCAGCAGAAGACCCTCGAAGGAGGACATCAGTGTACGGACTGAGCGATGGGGGTGGAGACGTTCCTTCATGTCTGCATACCTGAGGCTGTTTAGGGCTTTAGGTTGCAGATCTTCCTCCTCCACAATGATCTCCAGAGCAAGTCCAACATACAATTAGCAGAGTAGGGAAAAACGCTCAGACAGCAAAAAATTCCTTCAGCAAATAAATTTGTTCCTGAAGGCATAACAGGAATCTATGCCTGAAAAATGCATCCACGGCAATTTAAAGGTCAGCACCAACAATGTGAAATGTGCTCAGAAATGTACTGGGAGTCAGTGACTATCCTTTAGGACTGGTGTTCTGTTGTCTCAGCGGCTGCTCCCATTCTGTTGTCTAGCTGCCACATTCTGGATTAGTTGCAGTTTAGGAGTCACCTTCAAAGATAGCCCCATGTAGCACATGGCAGTCGTCCAAGCGGGAGATCACCAGAGCATGCACCATTCTGGGGAGACAGTCTGCGGGCATGGAGAGTCTCATCCTGCATACCAGAAGGAGCTGGCAGACAGCTGCCCTGGACACAGAATTGACCTGCGCCTCCATGGACAGTTGTGAGTCCAAAATGACCCCCAGGTTGTGCACCTGGTCCTTTTGGGGCACAGTTACCTACATCAGGTCTAGGGCGTCTCCCACACCTGCCTGCTCCCTTTCCTTTTGGGGCAACAGTTATGAACTGGAGAAATAGAGGGCCAATTAATGGAAAGGGGGCAGGGGACCCCCCAAAAGAACATTGATGTTGCAGGAAAGGAAATGAGAATCGGGAGCGAGGACAAAGAGGTAAAGGGGTCGCGGGGGGGGGTAGAGGGGAGAAAAGGATCCAGAGAACCCCTCCAGCTCTCCTGGCAGGGCCTGGATCCCTATGTACTGTGAAGGGGGCTCCTTGGCAGGGGTGGACATGGGGCCCACCCACGGGGTCCCACGAGGACTCCCTGGCCCCGTTTCCCCCGTGCAGGCATCCCTGGGGCCCTGTGCTCTCCGCACGGAGAGAGGCAGACCATGAAAGGGTTAACGGGCGCGAGAAATGCCTAGATAGAGACCCCCTGTCCCTCCCCAACTCGTCTTGGGGGCCCCTCTGGATGGAGAGATGGGTCGCGCATGGCAAGGGGGCCTCTGGGTGCAGGGGAGACTCCGGGAGAAAGGGAGGGGGCCAAGGGTGTGGGAGCCGCAGGGAGGACGGAGGGGAGCATCCCTGGGGCAAGGAAGCGAAGCACCGGCGGGGGGGGGGGGAGGAGACCAGTCTGTAGGGAGACTTCTCCATCGGGCACCCACAAGGAGTCTCCCGAGGGGTCGCCTTGGCTTCTCCCTCGGAAGTGGCTCTTTGTTTCCACAATCCCACCCAGGAAGCAGCCAGAAACCTTTTCCTCTCTCTCAGGCTTCCATCTTTAAGTATCTCTTCTCTGCATGGTTCACTGAGGATGAAGAAGATGTACACCTGTTGTCAGGAGCAGGTGCAGAGTCCATGGAATGGCTCTCAGGATTGATATAGACGTCAAAAGCATTTTTGTTCCTCTTATTCTTTGTAGGCAGTGTCAGAGTGACTGACAAGCTGAGATACAACCCATCAGAATCCGATGACAGCAACTGCATGAATCTTCCCAGTCAAAGGACCCATTTTCATGATAGACAGTGCCTGTGACTGGAGGCTCTACATACAAGGTGTGCCTATGCAGGCCAAAGACTGCAAGTATTAGCACAGGTGAGGTGTGTGACCTTCCCAAATTTACAGACTGTATGCGAATGAGAGTTTGTGGGTGGGATTATCGTTTACAACACCCCTGTGATTTTCTGCACCCATAACATTTTGTGATCTGATTTCGCAGTACGAATTCCAAAATAACTGCAAAAAATCACAAGATGATAAGAATGATTGTAGTATTTATACAATGTAGTCCATCTGCATATGTATATGTAGTCCATCTGGTTGGGCTTCCCCAGCCACTCTGGGCAGCTTCCAGTACACATAAAAGACAGTAAAACATCAAACATTAAAAACCTCCAGATACAGGTCTACCTTCTGCTATCTTCTAAATGTCAGATAGTTGCCCATTTCCTTGACCTCTGAAGGGAGGGCGTTCCACAGGGTGGGTGCCACCACCCAGAAGGCCCTCTGCCTGGTTCCCTGTACCCTCACTTCTTGCAGGGAGGGAACCAGCAGAAGACCCTCAGAGGAGGACCTCAGTGTTCAGAGTGAAGGATGGGGGTGGAGACGCTCCTTCAGGTCTACTGGGCCGAGACGGTTTAGGGCTTTAGGTCACAGATCTTGTTCCTCCATAACAATCTCCAAGACCGATATATAGTTAGCAGAGTAGGAAAAAACACTCAGAGGCAGCAAAAAATTCATTCAGCAGAGAAATTTAGTACTGAAGGCAAAAACTTAACTTACAGTAAAACCCTAACTTGGTATATCAAAACAGCACTCATGTAAGAAACACACAAGCAGAGTAGAGAATTGCAGATTAGGAAGTGGGACCAGGCGCCTTTCAATACTGCGATTTATAAAAAATTCCATGTCAGAGTAGCCTTGGGACTGGATACCAAGCCTGGCTCACCCCAGTTTAAACCAGCTTCTTCTGGTTCCCAGAAACAAGGAAGGTTCAGCATAACCTCATTACAACTGATCCCACCACCTGCTCTCAGCAGAAAGGAAACTCCCTTGTCAGCTAAAATGTTCCAGCTAGAGAAAACACCACTTTGAATCACACAGAGTAAAACCACCAGAACCTTCTTGAACCAACAGACCAAGAATGATCTCTATACATTAGATCAACACTTTTCTTGTTCTGAAAAATGCAGCCATGACACTTAAAGGTCAGCACCAACAGTGTGAATTGTGCTTGGAAACACACTGGAAGCCAGGGAAGATCCTTTAGGACCAATGAAATGTGGTCTTGGCGGCTGCTCCCAGTTACTAGTCCAGCTGCCGCATTCTGGATTAGTTGCAGTTTTGGGGTCACCTTCAAAGGTAGCACCATGTAGAGCACATGGCAGTGGTCCAAGCAGGAGATAACCAGAGCATGCACCACTTTAGTGAGACAGTGTGCAGGCTGGTAGGGTCTGCCTGCCACCTGTCCCACAGGGACAGTGCTTCCGTCTTGTCAGGATTCAACCTCAATCTGTTATCCACCATCTATCCTCAAACCACCTACAGGCACCAACACAGGGCATTCACTGGTTCATCTTCACTGGTTCCAATTTAAAAGAGAAGAGCTGGGTATCATCCACATGCGTGTGAACACCAGCCAAAACTCGCCCAGCGGCTTCATATAGATATTAAAAAGCATGGGGAGAGGACAGAGCCCTGAGGCACCCCACAAGTGAGCACCCAGGGACCTGAACACTCATCCCCAACACCACTTTCTGGACATGGCCCAGGAGGAAGGAGGGGAACCACTGCACAGCTGTGCCCCCAGCTCCCCTAGAGGGTTCAGAAGGATACCATGGTCAAGGGTCTCCAAAGCATCCAGCAGAACCAGGAAAGAGCTTTCCCCTTGGACTCTAGCCTATTGGAGATCATCAACCAGCGCAACCTGGGTAGTTTCTGTCGGATGATGAGGCCTGAATCCCAATTGGAAGGATAATGGTGGCAGAAGCTTTTCTGGTCCTGCACCCCCAAAAGCTCCAAGCACAAGACTTTCATTAGCTTTGAAGGGGCCATCGGATACTTGGTGGTCTTTTCTTCAAAAGACAAATATTCTGAATACTTTTTAATTGATGTATGATATAAACAGCACTTCTGTTTTACATATTCCACATTGGAGAGATTTTGATACACAGGTCTGAGTTCATCGCTGCCCCCGAAACTGCTGTGTTAGCAGTACAGCAAGTGTGGACAGTGTGTTTGGGGGTTCAGGGCTGCCTAGACAACAAGAGCCCCTTCTCAGCCTGGCTTATATGGTCCCAAGGAAAGCAGAGCAGTACGTTAGGCACCAGCTTGGCTGCAGGAGTGGCTGGAAGGAGGTGTGCAGGACACCATCCAACCCTCTTAGAGACTTTTCTTTTCCTGAAGAAAACCAGGCAGCGAAGGTTTAGGACCACAGTTTTCCTTCTTGAGGACCTCGCTTCCCAGGTTGACGAGCTCCATCTGCCCTTCACTTTCCTCTGCAGCATGGGCAGAATCTGCCTTCTTGACTGTGGGATTCACTGTTGTTCTCCTCCTCTCCATCCACCAGGGCCTGCCTTCACCTGCAGCAGAATTCCCCAACCCATCAATGATTTGAAACCCATCAGCTATCCTCACCTGATTTAGCCGGCCGATTGAAGCCGTTCCTGGGATTGTGGCCCCTGTTCCATCCTGACAGCTTCTGGAAGCCACAGGTGAGAACTGAGTGCAGGTTGGGGACCATTGATGGATAGATTACCCCATAAGGAGCTTGACATGACCCCCACCAAAGGAACTAATGCTCTCCTAACACCCCAAGACATCGTATAATTATTATATTTGAGACAGAACCAGAATAAATTCGTGTCTAAAAATAACACATCTTCAGGCCATAAATAAATTAATACTACTTATTAAAGGTACTACATATTCCACTAAGTACAGTTTATCTATTTGCCTTGAATATCACCTTTAAAGTGTCATTTTAGGATAGTTCTGTATCAGAAGACGGGCACGAGATCAGACAGCACATTCTTTTAAAAATCATGCTGCTTTATTAACATTGATTGAGGATTATGAAAGTTGCTAATGAATTACTATCATTTGATGACATTGCAACTTCATTTCCTAAAAATTGGGAACATGGGTAGGAGGTGGGGGAATGTAATAGACGTTGAAATAGGAGAAGGTGCTAATGGAGATTGATGCATTCTCTTTCCCTTAGTTCTCTTCCTTGAAACCCAAACAGGATTCCCTTTCATCCCACTCTGAAGAAGGAGAGGGAGAAGACAGTCAAAACTCCAGTGAATGGGGCACCTTTCATATCATTAGGAATAGAAATTAAAATGTGTGAAATGCAGAATATGCTTCATTGAATGAGGAAACATAGTTCACATCAACGACCTCCAACAGGGGAGAAACCATTTAAAGGTATGGAGTGCAGAAAGAGCTTCAGTACCAGTGGAAACCTTAGAACACATCAACGGATTCACACAGGGGAGAAACCATATAAATGTATGGAGTGTGGAAAGAGCTTCAGTCAGAGTGGACACCTCAATATACATCAACAGACTCACACAGGGGAGAAACCATTTAAATGCCTAGAGTGCGGAAAGAGCTTTAGTGAGAATGGAAAACTTAAAACACATCAACGGACTCACACAGGGGAGAAACCATTTAAATGTATGGAGTGCGGAAAGATCTTCAGTAAGAATGGAAACCTTAGAACACATCAACGGACTCACACAGGGGAGAAACCACATAAATGCATGGAGTGCGGAAAGTGCTTCAGTCAGAGTGCAGTCCTTAAATTACGCCAGCAAATTTACACACGGGAGAAATCATATAAATGTATGGAATGTGGAAAGAGCTTTAATGATAATGGAAAACTTAGAAAACAACAGTGGACTCACACAGGGGAGAAACCATTTAAATGCATGGAGTGCGGAAAGAGCTTTAGTTTGAATGCAACCCTTAGAATTCATCAACGGACTCACACGGGGGAGAAACCATTTAAATGCCTGGAGTGCGGAAAGTGCTTCAGTCAGAATGGAGACCTTAGAAAACATCAACGGACTCACACGGGGGAGAAACCATTTAAATGCATGGAGTGCGGAAAGTGCTTCAGTCAGAATGGAGACCTTAGAAAACATCAACGGACTCACACAGGGGAGAAACCATATAAATGTATGGAGTGCGGAATGAGCTTTAGTGATAATGGAACCCTTAAAAAACATCAACGGACTCACACAGGGGAGAAACCATTTAAATGCATGGAGTGCGGAAAGAGCTTTAGTTTGAATGCAACCCTTAGAATTCATCAACGGACTCACACAGGGGAGAAACCATTTAAATGCCTGGAGTGCGGAAAGTGCTTCAGTCAGAATGGAGACCTTAGAAAACATCAACGGACTCACACCGGGGAGAAACCATTTAAATGCATGGAGTGTGGAAAGTGCTTCAGTCAGAGTGCACAGCTCAATATACATCAACAGAATCACACAGGGGAGAAACCATTTAAGTGCCTGGAGTGCGGAAACTGCTTCAGTCAGAATGGAGTCCTTAAATTACACCAGCGGATTCACACAGGAGAGAAACCATTTAAATGTATGGAGTGCGAAAAGAGCTTCAGTCGGAATGGAAATCTTAGAAAACATCAGCAGACACACAGGGGAGAAACTGTTTAAATGTATGGACTGTGGAAGGAGCTCCAGTCAGAGTGGAACCCTTGATTTATGTCAACAAACTCACACAAATCACAAACCTTATAAATATCAGGAAAGTAGATAGAGGTTCAGTCTTGGTGGAAATTCTAAATCAACAGATTCACGGACAGGAAGAACCTTTGGAGTTGAAACCCTACAAACCATCAACAAACTCAAAGAGAAGGAGCAGTTTAAATAAAAAGATTGCAAAAAGTGCTTTATTTACAATAGAGTGTTTAAGGAACATCCAGGGACTCTCACATGGAAGAACCCATTTAGATGTATGGAGTGTTAGAGGTCTTCCTCTCAGAGTCCACCCTTTTCTTCACAGAGATGAACTCAGGAGGAAATCAGTATTTAACACATGTTGTGTATGTGAAGTTCTGGTTTTTTATGTGTAAAACTCTATCGTAATAAAATATTGAAGGCGATGTCAAACAATGTGATTATGATCTAAGATGTAAAGTACCTTTTGATAGAGAAGGGGTGAGGGTTTATCTGGATTGCTCGTGGTCAGTGCGGATTGTGGCTGGGCGATATATTGTCCAAACTGGTTTCTAGACCACATTGTGATAACCTTTCAAAAACAATTGATATGGCAACACACCAAAAATCACAGTGTGTGTTTCCAGGATGCTCATTTGCCTGGAAGCTGCTGGCAGAAAGCTTTGCTTCGTGAAGCCCTGAATATGCTGAGTTGCTGACTTCCCTCCCAGGCGACAGGAAGCGAAGGACACACCTCCATTGCTCTTCGTTGTTCCAGCCTCTTTCCTCCCTTGCTCCCTTCTGCCAGTTTGTGTGCCTGACTTAGATATCCTGTGTGCTGTATTTGTTTACTGCTGAAACTGCTGTACTCAAGCATGAAAAATTGGTGCATATGTGTGTGACTGGTTTTTGCACCAAACTCTCTCACCCCCACCACGTGTGATCTCCAAACACTGCTTCTTCACTAGAACCTCTCCCTGTCTCCTACACATTCAGAAGAAAACTTAAAATACTGTAATTTAATGGGAGATTTCCCCCCAAGCCTTCTTGCAAGAGAGGGAAGGAGGGGCTGCAGGTACCAGGGAAGTCTCCTGATGGGTCCCATCTTCACTCATGAACCCCATGGGGCAACCCCAGATCTACTGCTTATTCTGGGATTTGGGGAAGATAGTACTTTTCCATAGTCCCAGAAGTTTTTAATCTTCCAGCCAGAGGACCAGTGTGCATATTATTATCATACTTATTTTACTGATGTTGCTGCTGTTGCTGTCATGGACTGGCTGGGTGAAAAGGGGGGGAGGCACCAGCTGGGGAACCCCCAAGGGAAGAAGGCTCGGATCCCGGGTCTCGTATGCCCCCTAAGTCTACTCCTAGGTCTGTTCAATAAAAGGCTAATTTGGTCTTATGGGGGGGAGACCCAGGTGCGAGGCTGCTCAGCCCCCCAGCTCATCAGGCAGAGCCCGTGGGTCCCTGCAGAATAAAGGAAGGAGTCCGGCCACCACCCGGAGCAAATAGCTGTAGATCAAAGTTTATTGGGCAACAGGTCCAAAGAGGAATTGTACCCTGAGGATGGGGTGACAAGGACTTTTCAAAGTTTCCATCTTATCCCAGCATGCAGTTCGTGGAGCATCATCGCTACATCAGGAGGTGAAAAAACCTATCTGAGGATGTACAAATTCCAGCGCGCTTTAGTTCTGGGCTGCTTCACTCCTTGCATGAATTTTACCTGGGTGTCGGGGCTGTGTGTGCAAAAGCCAAAGCCCCTTTTCCCCCCGTAACACAGGAGTCCAAGCCGCTGCTCAATGTACACCAGTACCTAAAACACGGACGGATCTAATCGCGTGGGGTGGGGGAGGGAAGGATTTTGCAATGTAAACATTTTGGGGTGCGAGACCCCACTTTGCGAGTGGATTGCCGGGATCAGCCCCTCCCCCGCTCTCTTGATCCCCAGAAGAAGAAGTGAGGGGGAAAACCTTCCTCTCCCCCCCCCAAATCCTCCCCTCCCCTCCCGGCACATCCTTCTCTCACCCCGCCCCCACAACCCCAAATCCCGCCCCCTACGTTGCACCTCCTCTTCCTCGCCATCCGACTTCTGTTCCGGGAGTGGGGAGGGGGAAAGAGACCCCTCCCAAACTGCCTGCTTCTCCCGCAAGTGGAGCTTCTGCGTCGGATTGCCGCTCTGCCCCGCAACTCTAGGGGCGCGCGCTTTCGGAAAGGGGAGGAGGGGCGGCAGGTAAATCCCCCCCACCCACGTGGATGTTGCAGGAAAGGAAAGGAGAATCTGGAGCGAGGACAAAGAGGTAAAGGGGTCGCGGGGGGAGGCGAGAGAAGGATCCAGAGACCCCCTCCAGCTCCCCAAAGCGCCTATCGTGCATCTGGATCCCTGCACGCGTGCTGCGAAGGGGGTTTTCCTTGGGCCCTTAGGAAGCCCACCCAGGGGATCCCAACGAAGCCCCCTCGCCCCATTTCCCCGCGCAGGCATCCCTGGGGCGCTGTGGGTTCCGCGCGGAAAGAGGTGGGCCATGAAAGGGTTAACGGGCGTGAGGGACGCTTGGATAGAGACCCCCCTATCCTCCCCTGCTCGTCTTGGGGGGGGGCCCTCCGGATGGAGAGATGGGGGGGGCGACGGGTGAGCCACACCAAGGGGGGACTTTGGGTTCAGGGGAGACTCTGGGACAGAGGGAGGGAGTCGAGGAAGTGGGGAGGGGGAGCATCCCTGGGGCAGCGAGGGGGGGAGTGCTAGGTAGGCCAGTCTTTGGGGACACGTCTCCATCTTGGCGCTCACGGGGATTCTCTGGAGAGACCACCTTGGCTTCTCCCTCCCACCCAGGAATCTCCACCCCTTCAAGGCTACCAGAGAGGGATCCCTGGAAAGTGGGGGGTTGTGTCCCCCCACCCCCTGCTTCCTGCAACCTCTATCCTACTCCCCCCCCCATAAGCCCCTGCCCTGTCCAGACTGTTGCAGGAATTTATGTATAAGTTGGGGGGGGGTTGCACCTTCAGCAGATATCATGCACATGCAGCCCACTACCCAAATCTGCACCATCACTTTTGTGATTTGTCCCCACAAAGCACTTGATCACAGTTTCTTCCTATCTATTCAAAGGGCCTTTGCTGCACAATACCAAATGTAGGAATTCACTGATAAATGTCTCTATGTACTGGCTCACAGGGAGAACTTCAGAAATTCATATAGACATGTGAGCTCAGCTCCTCAGCAGCCCCTCTGCCTGAGTGATAATCCCTGGCCTCCTGATACCTGAGTGCCGGACAGGTAGCCATTCCAGAAAGAACAAACCCAGATGAAGACAAAAGGGTGGGATTAACTTGCCTTGGAAACAGGTCAGGGAGGACAATGGCTGGCTGGCTGGGGGGCGGATCAAAGGCCAAAGAAAAGAGGCCGACCCCTTTGTCCAAGCCTCTTTTGGTTTTCTTCCTTCAGGGATCAGGGTCATCAAGAGCGTGTACTGGCAGCCGGATTAAGGTAACATCTGGCCTGATTGGAAGGGGCATGGCCCCTCCGCCAAGCTAGGGTGCAATTTTCTTTCTGGGCAGGCACCCAGCTAGACCGCGGAGGGTGGCCTTCTTGTTTTTGTAGCGGCGGGGGGGGGGGGATGGATCCCTCGAGACCGCCATTCGCCACCCTCCAGCTGTAGGCCACATTTCAGCTGTTTCGTTTTTGCAGGCGTGGGGGAGCATGGCCGTGGGCTCCACTGGCCATGAATGGTGGTGTGTGACCCCAGACGTAGACCACACGGCAGCTTTTAATTCTGCTGACGCC